TTCAGCCGAGCGCCACGCCCCCTCTAACGCCCACAATCGCCCACTAACGATCTTAAAATGTGTCCTGCGCCCACATCTTTAAAGATTTCCGAGAAGTATAAATGCAATTTTGTTGTGTATATTTATACCTATCGAAATGTAGAAGACATTTTTCAAATCGGACCATTCATTAAAAAGTTATACGCAATCAAAATATCTACATATATCTATCTCCCTCGCACTCCCTTTAGCTGAGCTACGATTATAGTCGGGACACGAACCCGAGTATAGAGTTCGCACTTTAGCTGAGTGACGGGTATTAAATAGTCGGGACACCAACCCGACTATAGCGTTCTCTCTTGTTTAGAAATTATGATTGATCAAATTAAATTTGAATGTATATATTAGCTCCTATGAGAGCAAAAGTAAACAAACAAAAACTTCTGATATCAAATAAAAACACCTCTTAACGAGGTAAAAACTAGTGACGATCGAACCTATAATATACAAAAGTTCTGATATCAAAATTATTACACTCGTCATTACATACACTTTATAAAATTTTCTCATTGGGCACGCTGCAATAAAAAAGCCTGTGAGGAGTGAAGAAGAACAAGAAAGGAAGTAAGCTTCGGCCAGCCGAAGCTTATATACCCTTGCAGTAGTTAAAATTTGATAAAATTAAAACCGAAATTCGGAAATATTTAAAAAGAGTTATATCCCAGAGTAGAAGAAAATACAATATAAACCAACGAAGCATAATTTTTTTCCTATTTTATTGCATTCAATTTTCCGACCGTTCTTATGGAAGCTATATGATATATTGTCCCGATTTTTTCTCAATTTTATTCGAAATTCATAAATATTTAAAAAATAACATTCCTAAGAGTAGAAGTTAATATTTCAAAAGCACCGAAGCTAGAATTTTGTTTACGTTTTTTTCCCGATCTTGCCTAAGAGAGCTATAAGATACCGATACGGCTCGTTTCGACATATGTACTACCTGCAATAGAAAGAAGATTTTTGGGACAGTTTCATCGCGATAGCTTTAAAACTGAGGGACTAGTTCGCATAGAAACGGACAGACGGACAGAAGGACAGGCGGACAGACGGAGAGACGGACATGGCTAGATCGACTCGTCTAGTGATGCTGATCAAGAAAATATATTCTTTATGGGGTCACTAGCCGAGTCGATCTAGCCATGTCCGTCTGTCTGTCCGTCTGTCTGTCTGTATAAACGCTGAGATCTCGGAAACTAAAAAAGCTAGAAGGTTGAGATTTCCCACACACACCTAGTTGTAAAGGTATTTTTAAATACTATAAACGCCTTCTAAACGTAATTTGTCTAAAAACAACACATGATAAAATCCGACGCTCCGTTCAAAAGTTATAGCCAAAAGAAGATATTCTTCGTCTGTGTGTCCCAAAACATGGCTTTAAAGTCCTGGAACTTTTATATGGTGTTAAACAGCTCGATATAAGAAACATTAGTTTTACCACTTTTGGAAAAACTCGCTAGTTTAGCGGGAAAACAGCTATAAATAGCTAAATTTTGAAAGGCCGTAACTTATGTACTACTAAAGCTACACAAAGAAAAAAACGGAACAATACCAGATTGATATTGTCTCCTCAATTTGTACATATCAATTTTTCCATATAAATGTAATACGAATTCATACCAATATGATACGAAATCATAACAATTACCCATGTTAATATGAATCCGTAATATATTAATATGAATACTTCAATGATTGATATGTTTTTCATATCAAATGGGGCATCGAAAAGTCTTCGAAAAAATAGTATGGCTGTAAAGTTGTATTTTTGTTGTATTTCTGGTATACAGTGGTATTATAACGCTTTATATGCTGTGGTCACACTTACAAGTTGAGCATGCTTAAACGAGCTAATTTTACATTCAAGTTTAGCTAATATACTCGCGTGTAACTTGTCGCGATGGCCCAATAGGTAACGCATCCGACTCTTATGCGAGAGGACCCCGGTTCAAAGCCGGCTAAGGCAGAGAAAGTAAAAAGTTTTTAAGGCGCATAATTAACATTTCCTTAACAATATTAAGAACAAAATTGTGGTAAAAAGTTAATATGATAAGATTACTAATAAAATAAAAAAAAGTTGTGTTGTGTTGTGAGCGGGATTTGAACCCCGTTCCCCCGAGCACAAAATAATATCAGGACCTAGCACCTTGGCCTCTGAGCCATACCCACATTTTTTTTTCGTGGCAGAATGCTTTTCTGAGTTAGAGAAAATACAATACAAAATTTTGTAGCAAAATTTGATATGAGATCATAACAATCTTGTATGAAAAATACCTTATTAATATGTTCGAAAATACCAATTTGGTATGTTCGAAAATATCATTTTGGTATTGCCTCATATTGGCCGAAATTGATATGAAAAAATACCCGAATGATGACCAGTTTTGGTATTTTTTTTCTCTGTATACAGACGGACAGACAGACAGGCAGGCAGACAGACAGACAGACAGACGGCTCGACTCGGCTAGTGATCCTGATCAAGAATATATATACTTTATACGGTCGGAAATGCTTCCTTCTCCCTGTTACATACTTTTGCACGAATACAATATACCCTTTTACTCTACGAGTAACGGGTATAAAAATACATGCAGGTGAAAATACGAATTAAATTGCAGGCACAACTTAAGGTCAGCTGCGTACATAAGACTAGAGGAAGGTAATTTATAAATAATGTAAACAGGAGCGGACCAAGATGATTTCCTTGTGGCACACCGGACGTAACTCAGATTAGTGATGAAAAAGAATTTTTAACAAGAGAGAACGCTATAGTCGGGTGCCCCGACTATCAGATACCCGTTACTCAGCTAAAGGGAGTGGGAAGGCGATGGAGATAAAAACTTTGATCCGCCGTAACTTTTTAACGAATGGTCCGATTTAAGAAAGTTCTACATTTCGAAAGGTATTGATAAGCACCACAAAACTGCATTTTTACTTTTCCGAAATATTGAAATTTTTAAAATTGTATATAAGCGATTGTGGGCGTTAGAGGGGGCGTGGCACCCCTTTGAAACAAACTTGCGCTGCGTAGGAACTCCTAGATTCTGCATGCAAAATTACAGTCTTCTAGCTTTTATAGTTTCCGAGATCTCAGCGTTCATACAGACAGACAGACGGACAGACAGACGGACAGATGGACATGGCTAGATCGACTCGGCTAGTGACCCTGATTAAGAATATATATAGTTTATAGGGTCGGAAACGCTTCCTTCTACCTGTTACATACTTTTGCACGAATCTAATATACCCTTTTACTCTACAAGTAACGGGTATAAAAATGACCCTTTGAGTCGTGCCATTTAAATAACTTAAGATCCACCTAAAAATATCATCTGAAAACCCTAAAAGGTTCAATTTCCGAACTAGAATCGGGTGATTTACAGAATCAAACGCCTTACCAAAATCAGTGTAAGCCACATCAGTCTGACGATTTTTTTTTTTTAAAACCATTTATCACAAATGAAATAAACTCCAAAAGCTTGGTTGTCGTTGATGTACGTTTTATAAATCTGTGTTGACAAGAGGAAATGAGTTTTTCTTCATGAAACTTTTTTCTAAATCTCGTTCAAAAGTTGAAGCTCCTCAAAGAATTTTAGTTTGTGTTTGTTTTTTACGTTATTAATCGCATTAAAAATGACGATAAATATACCAAAAGTTTTAGACTGAAAACATTTTTCGGAGACTCAAAAAAAATCTCATCTTGTGAACCTCTTAACTGGTGACAGGATCATCGTATGTTTTCTCTTTTTAATTGACTGACGCAACAGATTTTAATCGTGTTTTATTTATGGGCACAATAACACAAAAAGTTATGAATTCCGCAATTCAAAAGTTACTACATGAATGAATGATTTTTAAAATATTTTATCTTTTACGAATAAATAAATGATTTTTGAAATATTTTATCTTGTACTAATATAATTATTCAAAAAAACTTTCATTCAAGTGGTAGCTTATGAAATGCGGAATTCATACAGAGAAAACATTATCAAAAGTTTTAGGTGCAAAATCAGGAATGAAACATTTTAAAAAGTAAAACGCTTCAAACAAATTTTATTTTACTTTGGATTTTTAAAACGTTTTATTATACCCGTTACTCCTAGAGTAAAAGGGTATATTGTATTCTTCAAAAGTATGTAACAGGTAGCAGGAAGGACATGGCTCTATCGACTCGGCTAGTGATCCTGATCAAGAATATATAAACTTTATAGGGTCGGAAACGCTTTCTTTTCCCTCACTCACAGAAAAAAAATGTCCTTGATTTAAGTCCATTGACCTTGATTTAAGGAATAATGGCTTTAAAATGGCTAAATGAGGCTATACATGGACTTAAAAGTTTTCATCCCATATACATTTTAAGTCTACATGGACTAAAAATGCACTTAAGGCCATATGGACTGTTACATGGACTTGGGAATATGGGATGAAAACTTTTAAGTCCATGTATAGCCTTATAGTCCATGTAACAGTCCATATGGCCTTAATTCCATTTTTAGTCCATGTAGACTTAAAATGAATATGGGATGAAAACTTTTAAGTCCATGTATAGCCTTACTTAGCCATTTTTAGTCCATCGTTCCTTAATTTAAGAAACGTGAACTTAAATCAAGGTAATTTTTTTTCTGGTTGATGTTACATACTTTTGCACGAATACAATACACCCTTTTTCTCTACGTGTAACGGGTTTAAAAAGAAGTCAACTAAAAAAATCTATTTTATAAGTAAGTACAATCATTCCCGGTAATAACATCTCGGTGTTCCTAACGAAAGGCAGGTGGAAAGCGAGTATAAAAGTATAACAACCTTAATTTTTGATTTTCTGGAACGCACAATGTGTATATGTATATCTCCTTGAAAATAAATCCAATCCAATCCATTGAAAATATTTTTGCAAGTTATTTTTTGTATTTCCACATATTTAATTTATTCACTAACTATTCTTTTTTTTTTTCAAAATTTAGAGCAACTGGCATGGTGGCAGCTTTGGGAGAAGAACACACTTATCATAATAGTTGCTGTTATTTTGGGATTATTGCTGACCGTGATTATTATTTGTTGCATAATTATATGCATTTGCCGTCGTCGCCGCCGCCAGGATAAATGTGAGTATAAATATTTGAACAAGATAAAAACTGATTTTACCGAATGTGCTGAAATGCGAAGGCATTATTTTCAACAAAAATGAAAGCGAACAACAAAAAAAAACTTAAAAATATTTAATTTATTTTTGAATTTTTAACTTTTTACTTTATTTAAAAAAGCAAAACTAGTAAACTGTTGCATGTCATTTTTGATTTAGAGCTGTAAGATAAACGCTTTTGCATATTTATTCCCGTTGAATTACACGGTGTTACAAAACTAAACATTAATTAAAAATCGTATTCGTTTTGAACCGCATATTCCAAGTATGCTCCAAAAAATAAACAGAATTTTTGTTGGATTTTGGTGTAACATAGTTATTACAGACATCGGTAAAATAATATTCTTAACATTCGACTGCAAGAAAATTTAGTTAGGGCCAGATTATTTAAATTTTGAATTTTGGAGTTCAACATAAAATGTAGGAAAAACATTAAAATCAGGGCTATGAGCAATTACAATTGTATAGGTATATATGACTTTCATCTTCATCTTTTAAATCATTTCGCAGTATACATTAAAATTAAATGATTTAATTTATTCACTAATGCTATAGACGATTGCTGGAAATGTTTAAAAAATAGATATAGAATTCAGTTCCTTAATATCAGCCGTTTTTTTTTGATATCAAGTAAAGTTATTATATCAAAGGCAAGTTGCCTTGAGCGATGAGGCTGTCTTCAATGTATCTGCGCAGTGCGCAAAGCTCTGGTTCAATAGATGACGCAAATGACGGTCCTTTAACTCAATATGATAATGGGCTGTCCATATATTACGTAATCAAAATTTCGGCGATTTTTGACCCCCCCCATGTAATCAATTCTTCATAAAAAAAAATTTGCACTAGAGTAATCATTTGGTGGTATTCTACATGAAACGTGACAGACAAATTTTGGTCAAATCTCATAATCAGTCGAAACTTTTTTTTTTCGGTAGAGGATAGAAATGTAAGGATGAGTTTTTGTTTTTTTTTTTTAATCTCTTACCGTTTATTTTTTAAAAATATTTTTGTAAATTAGCTTCGATTTTTCAGTTATGCATCACGTGAGACTCGTTTAAGTTATTTTAATATTTGGTAAGCAACTTTGTGGAATTTTAAATTAAAACAAGAGAGAACGCTATAGTCGGGTTGGTGTCCCGACTATCTAATACCCGTCACTCAGCTAAAGGGAGTGCGAACGCTGTACTCGGTTTGGTGTCCCGACTAAAATTCGTAACTCAGCTAAAGGGAGTGGGAGGGAGATAGATATAGAAATTTTGATTGCGTATAACTTTTTAATGAATGGTCCGATTTGAAAAATGTCTTCTACATTTCGATAGGTATAAATATACACAACAAAATTGCATTTTTACTTTTCGGAAATCTTTAAAGATGTGGGCGCAGGACCCATTTTAAAATCGTTAGTGGGCGATTGTGGGCGTTAGAGGGGGCGTGGCGCTCGGCTAAAATAAACTTGCGCTGCGTAGGAAGCCAAAGAATATGTGTGGGAAATCTCAACCTTCTAGCTTTTGTAGTTTCTGAGATCTCAGCGTTCATACAGACAGACAGACGGACAGACGGACATGGCTAGATCGACTCGGCTGGTGATCCTGATCAAGAATATATTTAGTTTATAGGGTCGGAAACGCTTCCTTCTACCTGTTACATACTTTTGCACGAATCTAATATACCCTTTTACTCTACGAGTAACGGGTATAAAAATGTTGTACGCCGGAATACACGCGATTCCCAAAAAAAAATAATTATCATTATGTTGCTTCAACAATTCTTTACGAAGTGGTAAAATAAAATTTTTGTATTCGCAAGACCTACTAGTAAAGACAACGATTTTAGTTTAGCAACTTTGCATCAAGCAACAACAGCGCAACGTGGTACAAAAAAAAAAGTGGATGTTTTCTGAGATTTGATTCCAATTTGCCTGTTTGCCACGTTTCACATGGAATGAGCCATAATGCTTAATGTTATTAAAAAACAAGAGTGAACTCTTTAGTCGAGTACCTATCAGATACCCGTTACTCAGCTAAAGGAAGTGCAAGCGAGATGCAGATATGCACGCAGCAAAGCGACTGCTTGTATTGTTTGAATTCCATTATTTGTTGAATACTTTTTATTGAACGGTCCGATTTGAATATATGGTAAACGTTAAGTATGTATTTTAACTGTAAGGGTGTATAACTTCCTTTCTTGTTTAGGTTACCACTAAAAGGTTTGCAGTGTAAACTATGCAACAACTTACTAGTATCAGATATAAGATATAATTAGGATACGTACATGTATCTTAACTATTATTAAATTATATTTGCTTGACTTCTTAATGTATCTATTGCATATGTACGCTTTGCCTAACAATTGTCTGGGGCCTCATCATTGCACGCTGTATTTAACTAATAAATCGCATGAAACGGTTACCATACTGTACTTCAAAAATTCCACGTACATTCCACAAATACACAACTACACAACTACAGATCTCACGGAAGTTTCCCTAAGTGCTAACAGGTAAGTCAAATTTATAGATTTATTTATAAATTTATATATAAATTTTGTGAATAAAATTTTAAAATTTTAAATGCTATTAAAGAAGAAAATAAACTGATACAAGTAAAATGCAATTTTAAATACAAGTTTTCTATTATATTTTAAAACAAAGCTAAATGAAGAGCCCTTATTAATTACCGAATTTTCTTTACACACATCTTTACTATACCCTTGCAGAGGGTGTGTAATGTTTTCAGTCAGAAGTTTGCAACACAGTGAAAGAGACGTTACCGACCCCATAAACTATATAACGGGTGTTTTTTTTAGAGGTATAGAACTTTAAGTTGCAATAAAACAACGATGGATTATTCGATTGACATGCATTTTTTTATTCGAAAGATAATCTTGTGGCATTACATTTTATATATGATTTCTGGCATATGACCGCCACGGCTGGCTCGGATGTAGTCCAATCTGGACGTCCAATTTTCAATGACTTTTCCCAACACTTGCGGCCGTATATCGGCAATAACACGGCGAATTTTGTCTTCCAAATGGTCAAGCGTTTGTGGCTTATTCGCATAGACTTTACATAGCCCCACAGAAAGTAGTCTAGCGGTGTTAAATCACAAGATCTTGGAAGCCAATTTACAGGTCGAAAACGTAAAATTAGGCGGTCACCAAACGTGTCTTTCAATAAATCGAAATAAAATTGCACTATTTGCAAGCGTTGTTCAGACGTGAGTCTTTTCATGATGAATTGCCAAACTGAGAATAAATCACTTGACAGCTGTTAAATCGGTCGCCACCTTGAACAGTGATGCCAACTTAGAGTTCTATACCTCTAAAAAAACCCCCTTTATATTCTTGATCAGCAACACTAGACGAGCAATGTCCGTCTGTCCGTCTTAGTTTTAAAGCTATCGGGAGAAAACTTTCCCAAAAGTCTATTGCAGGCAGCATATAAGTCGGAACCGGCCGGATCGTACAACTATATCTTATAGCTACCATAGGAAGGAAAATTAATCGAAAAAAAATTATACCTTTTATATAATATAATCTCATACTTTTGGGAATAACATTTTTTTAATAATTCTGAATTACGATTTAGTTTTATAAAAATCTGACGACTATATCCATTAGCTGCCATAGGCAGGATCGGAAAATAATGGGAAATTAATTGGAGAGATTTAATAGCTCCGTTGGTTTTTTTAAGGTATTCTTTTTTTTACTCTGGGATATGACTCTTTTTTAATATTTCTGAATTTCAAATAAAATTGAACAACAATCGGACGACAATATTTTATAGCCGCCATAGGAAGCAAAGAACAATTAATGTCACAATATACGAAATATAACATTTTGTAATTTGTAATTAAATAAGAATGATCTGCAAGGGTATATAAGCTTCGGCTGGCCGAAGTTAGCCTCCATTCTTGTTTATAAATTCAATTCTGTTTATCCAATCATATGATTTCTAATTTCTATAACTTCTTAATTAAATGTTCCTATACTCGAACTAAAGAACTAAAAGAGACCGGGCTGAAAAATTCAAATTTAGAATTGCTTTATTTTTGTAACATAAATTGTAGCGAGCATGCTGTCAAATTTTGTAAAATAACTTTGCATGTATCCTTATGTATTTGCATTTATCATGTATTACTAAATAACCTCTTTATTTTTACCGGCTAACTTCACCTTCATACCTCTCTTAATCCCACACATCACATTTCAGTGTATTGTATGATCAGTCAGAAATGACACAAGCGGGTGGGAGCCCCCCAATACAGGATAAATCCACAGCCTTCTTAGCAAATCCGACTTTGACTAGCTTTAATGCAAACGCACCGAAATCGCCACCGCGCTGGCCAATTCGTCCTGGGGTAATGCTTCACGTAAGCAGTAACACAAAAGAAAATTTGACTGTAAACCGAATGACATTAAGCCCCAATCTATGTAGCAAAGGTGGCAACATAGACCAGTTATCGGCCGAATTGAGTGCTGTTTTAAGAAAAAGTCAGTCTTATTCCGATAGTACCATCCTCACTGATGTGTCTGTGGTATTGGAGAACAACGCAGCATCAGAGTTATCTACATTTGCAGTACCTCAATTGGAGGTTGCACAAGAGAACAAGTCTGCAGCAGAAATAGCACCCTTGGATAACTTAGCTGCTAAAACACCAGGCTCTGGTCACAGCAAATTGGATCGCATTTTATCATTGGTTTTTAAAAAGTCTTCTGACGATTTTACTCGGGAAAGTCAGCGGAGCCATGTTGGTCTAATTCAGACCTTTTGGCGTGGCCTGGCTTCTAATAAAAGCACAACGCAGTTCGGAACTCAGCATCGTCTTAAAGGAATACGTTGCAGCGGAAGTGGTAGAGTATTTTTTGTTAAGATTATTTTTAATTTTTTTATTTTTGTCAATCAACAAATACTTATCGTATAGTAACCTACAAGAAGGCCAAAGAGACGACTCAAGGAACAACAAACACAATTGGAGAATCACCTTTAACAAATCAGCACAGCAGTTCTCAATCACATTCCTTTCAATTGCCCTTATTAGACGCGGAGGCATCTGAAATAGTAACTAGAGATGCCAAGAAAAATTGTTCCCAGAAAAGAGAAGGCTTTACTTGTAATGTCTCCCCTTCCTTGGCACCTCGTCAAAATCGGAGCTTTATGTCTCCTCCCCAACCCATAACTTCTACATTGCCATTAAGGAATTTCCAAAATACAATTAGCAGGAGCTGCTCAGCCGAATCAACGGCCCAATCCAAGAAACTCGAACATGTTGAAAGTAAGAATATTATAAGCGGTATTTTTGTCTATATAAGATAAAGCCAAACTCTTTTAAATTAAGCATTGTTATCGAATCCGTAAGATAGGTACCCATAGTTAACTTTAAGCTACTCCGCTAAAGGAAGGAAGGCTATTACATTATTTTTTGTCGATTGATAGTGCGGTTATTCATTAGATCATTCATTAAAAGCTTAGATATATTGATTTACTGGAATTTGTTTAGATAAGATGGCATGGTCGCATATAACTTTATAATTCAAATAACTTTAAGTGGTTAAATCATTAAGGTTAAAAACTATAAAACTAATAGTGTATATTGCCATGAAATCATACATTTTTAACACGTTTTTTAAATGTTTTGGGCTGTACCAAGTAGATTTGTACGTAATTGTTTTTTATTTTATCATATCCGGCAGTAATATCTAGACAGGCAATTCTATATAAATTTATAGACATTAATTTATAGACATTATTGCCTCAAATTTAAAATGTAAGCGTTATTTTTAGTTCGCAACGGAGTAATTAATCCGCTGAAATATTATGGCACCTAGCTAGTTGCACAAAGTTTGGAAATTTAAACAAAAATTAATTTTTAAATTAAATTAATTTTAATTATTGTTCCCATTTTACAGTAGCTCTAATGATGAGCAAAATTGTACTTTTTATACCCGCTACTCGTAGAGTAAAAGAGTATATTAGATTCGTGCAAAAGTATGTAACAGGTAGAAGGAAGCGTTTCCGACCCTATAAACTATATATATTCTTGATCGGGATCACTAGCCGAGTCGATCTAGCCATGTCCGTCTGTCCGTCTGTCTGTCCGTCTGTCTGTCTGTCTGTCTGTCTGTCTGTATGAACGCTGAGATCTCGGAAACTATAAAAGCTAGAAGATTGACATTTTGCATGCAGATTCTAGGAGTTCCTACGCAGCGCAAGTTTGTTTCAAAAGGGTGCCACGCCCCACAATCGCTTATATACGATTTTAAAAATTTCAATATTTTGGAAAAGTAAAAATGCAGTTTTATTGTGTTTATCAATACCTATCGAAATGTAGAAGAAATTTTTTAAATCGGACCATTCGTTAAAAAGTTACGGCGGATCAAAGTTTTTCTCCATCTCTTTCGCACTCCCTTTAGCTGAGTAACGGGTATCTGATAGTCGGGGCACCCGACTATAGCGTTCTCTCTTGTTAGATTTCATTTTTCTCATTGACGTATCGGTCCAGGTAGTACCGTATGGTGGTACTTTAAAATACCAAGAGTGCCTATCGGTTTTTACAATTGCCCTCATTGTTCATTGAAGCTCGAATAGGCTGAGAAAAAATTTATCTAATAAATGAGCCGAACAATGTCGAATTAACATTTTAAAAAATCTATAAGCATGTGGGCGCTAAACAGATTTTTTCTTTTGAAGGCGTAAGAGTTGGCGTAACGGTCGAGTGAAATGCACTTGGATGGAACACCTACACACAAAAAAAAAAAATACACACAATTAGCAAAGACACAAACCCACAGCAAAAACAAAATACACGTAACTATTTTAATAGTTACGTAACTATCTTTGTTGGTAAAATTGACAAATAAAGATGGTTCAGATGGTAAAAGGGTATATTGTATTCTTGCAAAAGTATGTAACAGCTAGAAGGAAGCGTTTCTGACCCCATAAAGTATATATATTCTTGATTAGGGTCACTAGCCGAGTCGATCTAGACATGTCCGCTTGTCCGACTATTTTTTATAGTTACCGAACTATCTTCATTTATCTTCATTTTTAATGAATGGTCCGATTTGAAAAATGTTCTACATTTCGATAGGTATAAATATACACAACAAAATTGCATTCATAACTTTTGGTGTGGGCGCCAGAAACATTTTAAAATCGTTAGTGAGCGATTGTGGGCGTTAGAGGCGTGGCGCTCGGCTGAAATAAACTTGCGTAGGAAGCTCAAGAATATGTGTGGGAAATCTCAACCTTCTAGCTTTTGTAGTTTTCGAGATCTCAGCGTTCATACAGACAGACAGACGGACATGGCTAGATCGACTCGGCTAGTGATCCTGATCAAGAATATATATAGTTTATAGGGTCGGAAACGCTTCCTTCTCCCTGTTACATACTTTTGCACGAATACAATATACCCTTTTACTCTACGAGTAACGGGTATAATAATAAGTATTAAAAAGGTAATTGTCAATTATCTTTTTTAAAAGTGACTTCATATTACACCTTTTAAGGGTGCGCGTTGCACTTGACTTTCAACTAGTGTAAAAGTATACTAAAGACTTAAGACAAAAAATAAGTTTTAAAGTAAAGGCTTAATGACTCAGAATCTGACTTAGTCTTGGTGCAAGGAGGGCTAGACTCAGTTGGGAATTGTAAATCGCACACACAAAAAAAACCATCTCCCTCGCACTCCCATTAGCTGAGTGACGGGTATTAGATAGTCGGGACACCAACCCGACTATAGCGTTCTCTCTTGTTTTTAAATTACTATTCTTATATATTTTCTTTAAAAGTAGTAACTTAACTACAATTCATGGATTGAGCCCATTTTAGCCTTTTTTGCAGTTGCGTAACTATTTTTATAGTAACTACTGCGCTTACGTATTACGTACGAGTAACTATTCGATTGGTAAAATGGAAAATTCTGTGGTTGGGGACAGTTTACTATTATATTGGTTAATTTACCAATCGATTTTTTTGTGTGTAGGTGTTTTATTCGACCATAAACTTTGGCTTAAGGATCACAAAAGGCTGCACACAAAAAAATTTTCTTGGTAAAATTGACCAATGAAAATAGTTCACTAACTATAAAAATAGTACTTTAACAATAAAAATAGTCGTCCGTGTGTTTCTTTTTGCTTTGCCTACTATTAAATAGTTAAAATAAAGTCTTAATGACTCCGAATCAGTTGATAATAAGGCATCGCAGAACATTTGTACACACAAAAAAAAACTTGGTAAAATCAAAAGTCAAACAGGCCCCAACCAGCAAAATTGTCAATTCTACTAAGTAAATAGTTATTCCACAACAACAAAATACACACAATTAGCAAAGACACAAACCCAAAGCAAAAACAAACTAACTATCTTTGTTGGTCAATTTTACCAAGCAAATTTTTTTGTGTGTAGGACTTCTGTTGCATACTTTTATATAAAAGATGTTAAGGGTAACTGTTTCATAAGAGTAAAAAAACAATTAAAATAGTTTCATGATACAAAAACACAATACACACATCCCCTAAGCGTAACTATTTTAATAGTTTTACTATTTATAGAACACAAAGCAAAAAACAAATACATGGACGACTGTTTTTATTGTTAGAGTACTCTTTTAATACTTACTAAACTATCTTTATTGGTTAATTTTACTAACAAAATTTGTTTGTGTGTAGGTCTCGCACAGTAGAAATACGTATAAGAACTTTGTTGTCAATAGAATAAATATCAGATAAAATGTCACGAAATTACATTTGAACAAGAGAGACGCTATAGTGGGATGCCCCGACTATCAGATACCCCTTACTCACCTAAAGGGAGTGCGAGGAAGATGGCGATATAAAACTTTGATTGCGCATATCTTTTTAACGAATGGTCCGATTTCTTCTACATTTCGATAGGTATTGATAAGGTAAAGGATGTGAAGGACCTCCGTAACTTCGAAAGGGCCAAGAATGGTACTGACGAGTCTTTTCACATACATGTTCATTTCCGGTTTCTTCACAAAGTCGGTGAATAGGTGATAGCAACTCCTCAGTCGCTTACAATGCGGGCAATAGTCTAAAAGAGGGGCCTGTGTCCCAAAAATCGCGAAAAAATTACCCTCGATGGACCGCAATTTCTTAGGAATTAACGTGCAGAAGATTATCGGGGGAAATGCATGGTTCTCTTGTAATTGTATTTCAAAGTTGCTTGTTTTGCTATAGAAACAAAGTAGCATTTTCTAGGATTTTGAGGTGTTTTGTATGTCACATTTGCTATAAAAAACATATGGGTTTTCCGTTTGCTGTCAAAAAAAATAGGCGCTCAAAAAAACTCGGCAAAAATGTTAAATTGTTTTTATTGCAAGCCAGACCCTACAACCGTGATTTAAATATCCTCGATGGATCGTGATTCCTTAAGAGTTTGAGCGACCATGGATGACCAATATATACATTTTTAAAATTAATCTTAAGAATTAACTATCCTTGGTGGACAGTGATTCCTTAAGAACTCGAATGACTACGAATTACCAACATATGCGTGTCTAAAAAAATTATTATTAAAGTAAAGTTGTAGAAATCGCGGCCCAAGGAATACAAAAGGCTACACCAATAACACAGGCCGACAAAATGTGACACGGGTCGGTGTCCACTACGCCTATAGTCTGTCAGCTCTGGTATTTGCGGTATCTTTTATTTCAGAAAATCACAAATTTTTAAGTCTTTTGGGATATATCTTCAAGAGTGGTCAACCAATTTTGGTAATATTTTCGGAATTAGATAGTTACATGTCTCTTTTATACGGTCGTTTTGGAAAATTTAATGTAACTCAACCACACGAGGAGGTGGGCGCATTCAAAATTTTAAAGTCACAGCAAAGTTTAAAAATCTTTATTTGTGAACAGCGTTTAAAAATTAAATAAAAATATTTTCTTCAACAATGCATTTTTGATCCAAAGACGCCTTATGTCCCTAATTTGTAGGACACTTAAATTAAAGATACCGCAAATACCAGAGCTGATGGACTATGGGCGTAGTGGCAACTTATGCTTAGAAAAACATAATTTACCGAAATAAAATGATGGCAGGCCTGGACACCGACCCAAGTCACATTTTGTCGGCCTGTGTAATGCGTTATAGGTCTAGTCTTTTCTACGATTTTCTTTAAAAATATAAGAAATATAGGTTTTATAACCGCTAAGACCGTGTAAAAGGTTACAATTGATAATCCTCCTTGAAGCGCGATTTCTTCAGATTCACCTAAAGGTTATGTATGTCTTGGTCATCCATGGTTAATCCA